TGGTGGCTGTTGGTGTTGGGCCAGGCAGTGCTTGGAGATCAGAACATCCTTGGGTTTAAAATTATAACAAAATTAATAAATCCCTTCATTTTCCGAGGTCCCTGTGAGTGTGGGAATGGGAATGCTTCATTCCTGCACCATCAGTGCTGGATCTGTGCCGGGGAGAAGATGCAGAGGAGTCTGGCACTGAGAATCCCAGGAGGGTTTGGGTTGGAAGGGACCTTAAAGCCCATCCAGTGCCACCCCTGCCATGGGCAGGGACACCTTCCACCAGCCCAGGTTGCTCCAACCTGGCCTTGGACACTTCCAGGGATCCAGAGGCAGCCACAGCTTCTCTGGGCAACCTGTGCCAGGGCCTCCCCACCCTCCCAGCCAGGAATTCCTTCCCAATATCCCATCTCTCCCTGCCCTCTGGCAGTGGGAAGCCATTCCCTGTGTCCTGTCCCTCCATCCCTTGTCCCCAGTCCCTCTCCAGCTCTCCTGGAGCCCCTTTAGGCCCTGCAAGGGGCTCTCAGCTCTCCCTGGAGCCTTCTCTTCTCCAGGTGAGCCCCCCCAGCTCTCCCAGCCTGGCTCCAGAGCAGAGGGGCTCCAGCCCTGGCAGCAGCTCCGGGGCCTCCTCTGGACTCTCTCCAGCAGGACAAGGAGCTCTCGGTGCTGTTCCCTCCCTCCCCACATGCCGAGGGGTGTCCATGTGCTCTCCTGGGCTCCCCAGCCGAGGTGCTGATCCCTCCCTGCTCCCAGGGCTGGGATGATCCGCCTGCACCTCGGGGAAGCTCCTCCTGCCCCGGCTGGGCAGGTTCCTCCGGCTGCACAGAGGGTGTGGAGCGAGCCCGGGCAGCAGCGGCAGCGGAGCTGCTCCAGCGCCAGCGCTCCCGCTGTCACCGCTCCATCCCGGGCTGTGCCCAGCGCAGGCGGAGCCGGGAAGGCTCCAGGCTCCCACCCCCGGCCATGGCCAACGCGGAGGAACAGCCGTGGGCTCTCTCGGACACCCAGGTAAATCCACGTGCGTGCGGGAAACCCTCTGGAGACCTGGGAATGCCGCTGCCCAACGCTGCAGTTCCCATTCCGACAAATCCCGGCTCCCGGGGTCCCCCCACGCCGGAGCTGGGGCGGCGAAGGGGTCCCGGCCCCCCGGGCAGGGCTCGTGCTGGGCCGGAGCGGCTCTTCCCAGGCTCCTGCCCGGCTGTCCCGGTGACTCAGCCCCGAGATCCGTCCGGCCCCGGCGGTCGCTCCGGTTCCTCGGCGGCAGCTCCAGCAGCGCCGTCTGGGAGCCGCTCCCGGCGCGGCCCCGGGCGGGACGCGGCTTCTCGGCGCTCCCCAGCCCCGGGCGAGGGAATCCGGGGTGCTGAGGAGGGCATTTCGGGAGGAAAACTCAGGAGGATTGGACAGGGAAACCCCCCGTGCGGCCACCGCCGAGGGGCTGGGGAGGGACCGGCCCCGACCCCTCCGCTGCCCCCTCAGCCCTGCCACAGCCTCTCCGGGCGAGCACCTTTCCCGGTGTTTTTGGGCACCGGCTTCGCCCAGGGATGCCCGAGGGAGCGGGTCCGGCCGTGCCGCGGGGCTCCGCATCCCCCCGAGCCGTGGGCCGGCCGAGGCTCCCGGGGTGGCCCCGCTCCGGGACTCCCGAGCCCGCGCTCCCCGCGTGTCTCCCCCAGGTCCTGGTGCTGATGGGAATCTCCCTCCCGGCCGCGCTGCTCAGGTGGGTCCCGGCCCCGCTCCCGGGGCTGGAACCGGGGCTTGGCAGCGGCTCTGCCGGGACGTTTGTCACCAGCCCCGTCTTTTCCAGCCTCCTGGGCAGCGGATCCGTCCTCGCTGTCGCCTCCCGGCAGCGGCGGTGCTGCCACATCCAGGTGAGTGTCACCGGCTCCTGAGCGTCCAGGTGAGTGCCACCGGCTCCCAGGGGCGCAGGGATGGGCCCGGCCGCAGCTGAGCCCGAGGCAGAGCCGGGCCGGCGCTGGGATAAAGCCGCTGGAAGGGTCGGGAGGTGCGGGATGTCCAGCGCTCGCTCCAGCCCCCCGGGAGCAGCCGGTGCCAGCCCGCGGAGGGCCGCGGGAGCTCGGGGTGGGGCTCTGCCGCCCGAGCTAACGCCGTGCCCCCTCCCCAGCTGCGGCCCCTGGCCCTGCTGGCCCTGGCGGATTTCCTGGGCGCCGCTGCCCTGCTGGGCACGGCCTCGCTGCAGCTGCTGCCGGCCCCGCTCTCCGTGCCCGCCTACGCCGCCTGTCCCTACGGGCGGATGCTGGTCACGGTAAGGGGGCACCGGGACCCCCCCCCTGGGCCGCCGGGAGCGGCCGAGCCCCGTGTGCGGGCTGGGATGGACGGACGGGGTGCCCGGGTGGTCAGCGCTGCCGGCCCTGAGAGGCCAGAGGGACCGCGGGGTCCCTCCGCGGGTGCAGGAGGAGGGAAGGGGCTGGAGGGGTGGGGTGGGGTGGGGCTGCAGGGCACGGGGAGGGAAGGGGCCGGTGGGGCATCGGGGTGCAGAGGGAAGGGGGAGGGTACCCTGGGGGCGCTGGGCACAGCAGGACCGACCCCCTCTCCTTGTCCCTCTGCCTTTCTTCTCCCAGACCTTCTACTCGGTCTCGTTCCTCATGGTCGTTGTCTACGCCTACGAGTCCTATCGCACCGTCCT